TGATAAGTAATGCCATTAATAGTCATATGATATGAGACACACCTACCAGTCCTCTAACCTGCCTTTCCATCAGATGTATAGTGGAGTACTTGTCGGACAAAATCCGAATTCTAGTCACACATCAAATTCAATTCATACGAAAAGCAACACAAATACTGATCTTAAGCTCAGAGGGCCGGTGCCTGGGGTTGGGCTCATACGACGAGCTCGAGTCCCATGGAATCGACTTCATGGCTATACTGAAAGATGTGGAACGGGAGGCCGAACACGACAAACAGACCCCAACCCCTAAAGAGACACTCCTGACGCAGTCGATCAACGACAGGGTCCGGAGGCACTCCCGGAGCACATCTGTGGCTCAGACCGAGAACTTCGAAGTCTCCGACATTATGGGCGATGACGAGGACTACTCGCATGAGCCCAGGATTCAGAAGGAGAACCGGGAGGTGGGTTCTATCGGGGGGCACGTCTACTATGAATACTTTAAAGCCGGCGCCGGACCCATACTGTTCACGATTACCCTGTTGTCAACATTGATATCTCACGGTATATTACATTACTCCGATATATGGCTAACTAAATGGTAAGGGAGTTTAAGCTTGTAAATTTATAGTATTTTATATTAGGTCAATATTAAATAAAAGCTTTATTGTATATACTTCATGATAAATATACTAGGTCAATGAGATTTATATTTTATATAAATTTAATCTAATATTACAAATATACTGAATCTGTAAAATTGTAAATGTAAATTATAAATGTAAATGTAAATTGTTTTTTATTCAGGACTGACAAAAATCAAATAGCTAGTGCAATTGACCATGATACACGAAATTATTACGTCTACATCTATTTGGGACTCATTGGGGCCCTGTTTGTGACGGCCCTAATACGGTTGACCACGTGGTTCGTGATGTGTATGCGGGCGTCCGTTAATCTACACAACAGTATATTCGCGCGTCTATTACGGGCGTCGATAGCCGTGTTTGACAACAACCCCGTCGGTGAGCATAACAATAATTTATAGTCTGTTTGTAAAGTTTGTGAAATTATATCACTTTTTAAAATCATTAAGATAGTAATTTTGTTAGCAAATAAATAAGTATGGTAAAACAGGCTCCCACAAACATAATATTTACTCAATAACATTTAATTAAACAAAATGTCCTGGATTTCTATGATAATAACATTACACCTTATAAATTATTATTATTATGATATCCATATAATTATAGGTCAAATGCTAAACAGATTCTCGAAAGACATGGGGATTGTCGACGAAATGCTTCCCACCACTGGTTATGACTTTAATTTTGTAAATAAATTAAAATTAAATTAAATTTTTAATTAAAATAACTTATTATTATTAATAAGTTTTATGAGTTTGTGTAGGAATTGAATATATTTTTGTCTCAATGCAGACGCTGTTTGAAACGATTGGTATTATAATAACGGTGGCCACTGTCAACGTTTATCTAATCATCCCGGGTATTTTCTTAATTATTCTTATGGTGATTGTGAGGGGCATATACATGAAATCGGCCAGGGATATCAAACGTTTTGAGGGGATAAGTATGTGCTCATAGGTTAGTGATTATAATGTCGTTATAATTGTTTTAATTATCATTTTATAGCGAGAAGTCCAGTGTTTACTCACGTGAGCACAACCCTCAATGGGTTGGACAGTGTGCGGGCCTATGGGGCGCAGGAGGCCTTTGAGCACCAGTACTATATCTACCAAAATGACCATACTGCCACCTGGTTCCTATTTGTCTGTGCATCCCGAACCCTGTGTCTCATTACGGACTGTATATGTGTTGCATATTTAGTGGCCATAGCCGTCGTGATGATGGTCTTCCCCGAACAGATTGGGAACGGCGGTAGTGCCGGACTGGCCCTCTCGACAGGTGTGCTATTCATATAATTTTGAAATGAGTTTAGTATTCAAATGTAAGACAAATGCTTACAATAAGTGTATATATTGTTAGCCCTAATGATGACGGGAGAGACTCAATGGGGAGTCAAACAGTCGACTGAATTTGAAAGTCAGATGACTTCAGTCGAGCGTATCATTGAATACCAGAGACTACCACAGGAAGCGCCGTTAGACTCGGATGACACACACCGACCACCACCTGACTGGCCATCGAAGGGTGCGATAGAGCTGAGGAATATGTTTCTGGTATACGAGGGCTCAACCAAACCGGTGCTGAAGAACCTGTGCTGTAGTGTGAAGAGTGGCGAGAAGATAGGTATAGTCGGACGTACCGGTGCCGGCAAGTCG